CACTGTATAGCTTTCTGATTATTTTGTATTCCATTAAAAATATCGTAATTTTTCATGTTTATTTGAAGAGAAACTTTGAAAAGTGACACAAAAGAAAAACAAGTTGAAAGAGAAAGTTCAGTAAAATCAACCCTGCTGCTGATTTGTGGATAGATTTAATTATTAATTTAATGAAAAGGAGGGCACTGAATGTAACATAATCATACTTTGAAGATTTCCAGAGATAACTAGTTAATCAATAGTGTTTTTTAAATATCCAAGAAATCTAAATCCGTTCTAAAAAAATATGCAACAAAAATTTGCATTTTCTCAACATACAGTATACCAGTGAATGAATTAGGCAAAGGTCATCTTCATGGGCAATTTTATTCCAAGTACCCAACAGGAATGGTAATGCATCACAGCTGACTCATTCCAATAGGAATTTAAATCTCAAGACACTGATGAATGCTGAATTTATTCATTACAAAAATCTCCCTGAGATGACGTTAAAAGCAGTTCTGGAAAATATGAAGAAAATCAATCAGTTATTCTGGTGTAGGGGAGTTCAAATGGGCCAGATGGGAAATTAACATTGCTTTTTTAGCCTACATGACAGGGCACTTTTTTGGTTTGCCATGGAAAGAGCTTCTGGTTAGCTTAAAGCCCATCCAGAGGTTTGAAGTCAGTTCTGTTAGACTGGCAACAAAAGCCCAATTATGTTTGCAAAAATCATAAATATTCAATGGATAAGGTATGTAAATTAAAATCAATACATAAAAAAGAAATGATTATATAAAACAAGTTGTCTTACTGGAAAGTCAAATGCTTCTCAGTCCAGACTGATTTAGCACTTGATTGTCAGCCATATATGCAAAAATTATTCCATAATCCTCTGATGCATTTTGCACACAAGCATTCACTATATGAGCTCTTCCCCAAAAGTTTTACATCCAACTACAGCATTTTCATTCCAACATTGAGCCTCATCCATTCCCTCCCTTAAAATCATGCAGAAAATGAGCTTGACCTTGATATTAAAGAAAACCACTAATCTTGAACCTACATTTTTTGGCATCTAATCTTGCAAAGGAGCAATCCTACATTTTCCAAAAATCTCAGAAGGATGTGAATGGGCCATCAGTGATTTAAAGAGGATTGAAGTACTGTTCACTATAAGGTTCGTCAATGGATGAAAGGAATATTGATCCTTCATTTGGAATCTTTGGATGTTTATTCCATGGATTTGCAAGGGGGGGAGAAAAACTCCAAAGCTGCGTTTTGATCGCATTTGCATGCCCCCAGGGGAGCATAGAAACAGGGGGAGGGGGAGAGGAAATTGCATACTGGGGAGAGTGGAGCTGTGGAACCTTGCTATTGCAAGTGGTGTTCACATGGTTGACTCCAGGAAGTGGGGGTTTTTTCTAACTATCAGCTTTACCATTTTGAAAAAGTTTTCTCTTGAAAAAGATCCCTTTTGCATTAAATCAGTTATACAGCAGCTCAGCTTAAAAACACTTTCAGACAAAATTTTCAAAGCAAACCAAATTTTTTGAGTGCTGTAGGTGTTCTGAGACTGTAGACTATAGAAAAAATACATGCGTCCTGTTGATCAATGCCTCAAAATTTCCTGTATATAGTTCAGGAGCATACTTTTATTGTATTTGTAGTTTGCAAGCATGTTTTATTTCACTATGAACCAATATTTCATGTTGAGTATACAGTATATTGAATGATTTCAATTGAGTTTCCTTTTATTTTTTGATTGGCTGAAGGTGGTACCTTCCAAGACGTATATAAGGTTTTTCTGACACAGAGGTAGTCTTATCAAAGATAGATAAATTAGTACAATTAGTTAGTTGGAAAACAATTATATTGTCAAAAAGGGATTACTCATGCATCAAAGCAAATAAATTCAAAATTCTGTACTTGAACAATGATGCCGTATGTCTTTTACTTGCGGAAAAGCCAGGTTTGTCATTTCCTGAAGGTAGTACAGTACTACCGTATCTAGAAAATCTTGTTAGAACAAAAACAAAGCACTTGAAATGTGAAATAGAACTTGGTACTTAACACTAAAAAAAGATGAGACAGGTAATGTACAAAAATTCGTTGTGAGCATGAACCCTTTGCAACAACGAATTTCAATTGCGATAATGTTGCTGAAAAAATCTAACTCTGGTTTGAACCCCTCTTGAGCGCCCCCTGTCGCCCAGAAAATCCGGCCGCCGCCAGCAGCACAGGGAAAATTTGGACCATAAATTTCGTCGGCCTGCGCTATGGAAGCGTGACGGGGAAACCTTCGGAGAGCCCCTGGGGGGGGGGGAGGAGAGGTTTTCCCGACGTCCGGAGTAATGAGGAAAAAAGGAGAGGAAAGAATGAAGGAAATGGAGGGCCATGTACAGAGAATTACTGTGGGAAACGGGCATGGGAGAAGAAGCACAAAAAGCGGACGCGGACAGCGCGCTTTCCGAAAATATGAGGAGGGATAGGAAGAAGGAGGAGAAGAAGAAGAGGGGAAAAGAAGGAAGACGAGGGGAGAGGTTCAGTGACCGGGCTGAGGGTTCATTTTTATTTTATTTTTATAATATAAATTTTCTCTCACTCTCCCCTCCCCTCCCCCCCCTCCATGCGGTTCTCCCTCGTCCACATCCCTCCGCGCCCCTGTTGTCATGCCAGCGGGTCTTTCCGGAGAGGGACTGCCACCAACGCGCCTGGGTGTTTATTTTCGTTCTTCTGTCTCTGTTCCATAACGCTGTCCCTCGCTGCTCTGTCCTTCAATCCTGCGCTCTCTCCGCGATTGCTGGAGTCGCTGTGGGGAGGGGGGCACGGCGCGAATTCCAAACGCGCGCGGTGCTGGCGGCCTTAGGTCCCACACGTCAGCAGAAGTCAGTTCATTGGCTTAATTAGGCATCACGCTCCAAGGTAGACGAAATTAATGCAAAAAAATTTTCGAATTGACTTGCAGCAGTTAAGAACCTGAATAATTTCATAGCGAAAAGTCGTTGCTCAGTTACTCCTGGACCCATTCAACGACTATATTTAACTAAAAATAGCAGCTTCCTGTCTTGATTGCTAGCATAGTGGAAGGGAAGCCAATTGTCTATTCCCGCACGTAGCATAACTTGAGAGGCAATCACAAGTCATCATGATTAATATTGTAGTAAAACATTCCACCAGGAATACCTTGCAATGAATAATTTGTTTGGTTCCCAAGCAAACTTCTTTCCTGATACAGCGGTTTCAAAAGTTGAACCTTCAAAGAAATATTCATAATGATGCTCAGACAGTAGAAAAATCTGAAGATGAAGCTGTCTGTGCATTCCTCAAGGGATGACAAATTTAAAAAGGCGATTTGTGCTAGTCGACGAACTGGTGCCCGCTTGGACCGACGGTTGCTGGAATCTAAACGGCAGGCGGGAAGGGGAAAAAATACCAAAAGAAAAAGCAGGCAAAATGGAAGCATGGTGAAGGAGTGGAGGTGCGAGGTGGGGACACTGGAGAAGGATAAGAAGGACAAGGGGAAAGAGAGAATGGATAGGGAGACGAAAACAGAGAAGCGGATACCGTAGCCACGGAACGCGTACATACGGACCATACTGGGCTTTCTCGATGAAGTTTGAAATTTTCGAGTTTTAAAAATAAAATTTGTCTTCATACAGATTTCAATACATTCTCGATGTGAGAAGCGCATTGCTGAATACGTAAATGTGAATCTTACTTTTCAACGAAAGCCGTCTCTTTCGTCTAGGAAGTGAGGCTGTATAGGGCGCATAGAGTTCATCAGCTGTTAGGTGCAGAAGAATATGTGTGATGATGCCAGGATATAAAGGTAGGATTTTGGCGGTACATATTGGAGCACTTGCAATACAGTACAAGGTTGGAGCCTGGGGAAAGAGGGGGGGGCGCGCAAACTGCGACGTTGAGGATTGATATACGGTGGTTGTTCAATAAAATTGTCCGGGACCCTGTTGTCAGAAGCCAGTTTGTCGGCGCGCGAAGCTCAGTAGGCTCTATTGGCGGGGCGACCGGCGCGGGAGTAGTGCGGACCAATGAGAGTCCTCGCAGGTACTCTCTCCGTCCGTTGCATTCCCTCTTCACTGAAATGGCCGTTCTCCCTGGCACACGATAGAATCCTGCCTTTTGTTGGTGGTGGATGTATCGGTGATAATGTGCGGTATAACGTGTGCTGTTCCCCGCGCTTCTCTGGTGGCTCCCACCACGTTTTCTTGCGATATTTTGTAAATACTCGCCTGCCCGTGGAATTATATTCCGTGGCGATTGAACGAGCATTCGAAGACAAGCCGGTTTCCCTCCCCGGGAATCAGGCTAGCGCGATTAGGCGGCCAGGCGCCTCGTGGGCTGAAAGAGATTCCCGCGTGGAATCACTCCAGTACTTCCTGTTCTTGTTCCCCTGACAGATGCTAGGTATACGCTCTTGAAGGGGAAAATGTTGAACGCGGAGGATTCCCCTCATACCTTTACTACTGTGGAGTAATGCCCGTCTCTCGTGTAAGGATCGTGGGGGCATAGAGTAGTGAGTGAGTGAGTGGAGCGCGACTCTTATCGTTATGTATCGTATTTACCGCCACCCCGTCTCTATGCCGCATTACGGTACCGTATTTACTCCCATGTGAGACGCCGTCGATTATTACGGGGCTTTATCAACTAACCTGTGGTACATGTGATTGTCCGTGAAGAAGTGAGGGCGTAGAGTGGTGAAACGTGGACTTCTTAGTCCTTAATTCGAGTCATAGCCGGCCGAGGGGTGGATTCAGTAAAAGAGCCGATCGAACATTGAAAAAAAAAGAAAGATATGTAATTAATCACGATTAATGTAGACCACACTGTTCCTGTGATTCTGTGTGGCCCGAGGTAAGATTGTTCTGAAATCAAGGGTGCTGGCTTTACCCGCACGTGGCTTATTACGATGGAGTGAATACGGTACCGTATTATTTATTGTGTGCTGCGTATGTACGTACTGCTCTTTGCATGCCTTGCGTGTCACTGCTCTCATGGAGTACTTGTGTGTGTTGATTCCAGCAGTGTTCATTGGTCAGTGAATGGAACAAAAACCAGCAATTTTCTCCGTGAAATAATAAAGTACGCCCGTTGACACCCCTCACGACGTGAAGACTTCCAAAATCGAGCCGGTCACCATGTGAGTACAGTACTAAGCATGCGTCATTTGAAAGCGAATTCATCTCGGCAACGAAGCTATTGCTCCATTACCATCGATTAATTTGTATGCCTCGTCAAGGGTTATTCAATACTGTATGCCGACTGTTTGTTTTCTATTGTTCTGGCGAAATTATTTCTTGCAGATTTTATATTGCACGTCATCCTGCTTATGTGCCTAATTAGTCGACGGAAAGTCGCATTGATTAATGTAACTTGGCTATCCCGATTCATTATCTCTTGGTAGATCTTCTGTATTCGTTATAGCAGGAAGCGCCAAGAAAAAATGCAGTACTGTTTACAAAATATTTCACTCATTTACGTTGGTTGAATTTATTTACAGTATTGCCTAACCCCTGCGATACCATCTAATGCAGGGTTGCATGGATACATTATTCAATCCGTATGATGTAAAAGGGATAAGCTGTTACTTGTTTCGTCTGACCCCTCGCTCCTAGCTTTTAACTTTTTTTGGAGAAAATCAAGCTGCTTTCCGGATTCCACTCCGAGCTGGTCTTATTGTATATCGAAAGAATACCGCTGTTCGATTATTGATGCAGTGTACAGTTATTATAAGAATAGTATATGTTATCTGATTACTTCGTATTACTGCGTATCTTTCTTGTGAATCTGATTCTTGAAAGGGCGGAGCATACGAATTTTCAATCGATTTTGAAAATTGTTGAATAACTGGATCTCTTGGGGAAGTACTGTAACTCAAGACTCGAATGTAATCTTAATTCCAGTACAGGGATTTCACTCGCTTTTAGAACTAGAATTACAGTGAAATAAAGCCGAATTCCAAGAGAGCAGGTAAAAAATTCTTTCGACCTCGGGAGGAACAAGCACTTTCTGTTGAGGTAAAGAAATGAGAAAAAAAGTATTTGTAATGTAATCTGTGATTTTCTTGACTTTACTTGGTTTTTTAAATGAGTTGAGAGGATGCTGCTGGAGAGAAGGGTCCATTTGCCCGATTAGTCTTTCACTTGCTTTAAAAACACAAATTTAGATTTTTATCGATTTTGTCTTTCCCATGCGAATAAAATAATCGCCAAAATACATGCAGGAAATTCTGAGTTATGGAAGTTTGAAAGGGAAAGCCGTGGAGCTACGGAGATTTATATTGAATCGTTTATGAGGGATTTCAGACGGGGGATTGAAATAAATTCTGCTCGGGAGAGTTTCAACCGTATAACATTGATGGTATCTTCTTGACCATAATAGCGTGAATGCGAAGCATTTCATTATTTTCCGAGTATTAATCGTTGAAAATAGGCGGTCAAGATAGTAAACGGACTTGGCGTAGTATTAAGCCGTATATCTACCTGATACTTCGTGAATGAGGATTAGACTCTTGCTGGCACCAAGTACAGTTACAATGGAATCGTATTTTCCGGGAAGCACAGAGGTAAGTATGTCGACATTCATTCGAATCACTTGCTCTAGGTAAGAAGTGTATTTTTGAAAACAAATTTTTTTTATATTGGGGAGTGAGAAAACGTCGCCGAGATGAGTTCTCTTTGGTTTTGATGGCATCGGCTCGTTGAAAACGATGGATCGGATCGTTATTGATTTGCAGAAGCTTAGTTAAATGGCGGATCAGGGTTATTACAATGAGGGAGGAGCAGGGCAAGGCTCGGGGCCTTCGCCTGCGGAAGACCGGCATGAGGCCAATGGCGCCGCTGAAGAACGGTTAGTTGTCACTTCACGTGTTTCTCGCATTTTTTTTCCTCTTTATCTAATTACTTTGATAATCCGTCCACGAGAAGAAAAAAAAAAGAAACGCCAAATTAATCACCAGTATGTGGTCGACCTAACTCCGTACGGTTTCGAGCTCGGGCCCCGCGTTGTGGGTATTATTGTTCTCCTTTATTTTTTTCCAGCTAGCGAAATGTCCGTAGACTCGACTATATATACATATACTTTAATTTGGCTGTCGAATGCTTCCCGTTTTCAAACGGCTGCTCGGGATTCGTCTTTTTTTTTGTTTTGAGCCAGTTCAAAGGGAATATCTCACTAGGATTTGTCATGAAATCACTTGCAGTCCTTACCACGTGTGGGCGTGTGTAAACGGAAGTCCATCGCCTCAGTGAAGTTAAATCGTCCGTGGAGAAATTCTTTGCAAATGCACAGTTTTCAGTTGACCCTTTTCTACGCACACATACGCACTCGTAAAATATATTGAAATCTCGGTACAACGAAGTTGTTGGGACTCCGGCAAGGGCCTGAAAAACGGCTTCATTGTAACAAGATTCTACTGTACGACGCAGCCGCTTTTATTAAACCAGTATTTGATAAATGCCCTTACAATTACTGTGTCTTTAATGGCTCTGGTTGCATTGGAATGACCTCCGTGGTCATTTGAATGGGAATGTTTTACGTGCTGCTTTTCCTCCATTTTGGCTAGGGTTCATCAGAATTGAAGACTAACTTTTTAAACAGTAATCTGAAATACAGTACTGTACAGTAAAATATCGTTGCACCGAATTTTATCGTATGGAATCACCGTATATACTTGAGTCAGTGAAGACGCGCACAGACTATTTTTTATAATTATAATGGAATTTGAAATGAAAATGTCTCCCCGATTATGCGGCACACACCCATTTTAGTAACGAAAAAGTTGCGATAGAGTATTGTGAAAATAAGAACTAGGAGCCTTTACATTTTGACTTGAATCCCAAGTGAATGGATTCTGAAAATTTTCGAAGTGTTCATTGAAATCATTCAAAAATTTCTCATTTGATGAGTACTTCTAGAATATGCATCGAAACTTTTTACACTTCCAAATTGAATCATTGTAATTTTTACCCGCATATGACGTCTGCACCCTCTTTGTTCCCCTCTTGATTTTTGAAAAAAAAAAATGTGCGTGTGGTACTTGAGTAAATGTGGTATTGCCTACATCTAATGTGATTTTTGGTCCCCGTCCCATCGCACCGAAGTTATTTTTATTTCTTTATAAAGAAGTATTGTTTATAACGCAGCTATGCCAAGGTTAAAAAATGTTTTGTTGTTAAGAAATTACAGTGCATTTAATCACTTCAGCGTGATGAAAAAATATCGATTGAGAGTTTGATTTCTTCATATTAATTCAATCCATTGACTTTCAAATTTTAGGGATTCATTTTTCCTAAGTAAATTAGGTTTTATTTTTTTTGGAGACACCCACTTCGGAAATTGGTCAGTATGCATATGTGAGGTTTATCGTGCCCCGAACGGATTCAGCGTAAGGACGGATTTTATTTCGCTGCATGGCGATGAAACTCATTTTGACTATTAACTCCCGGATGAATTGGTGTTCTGGCATGCCCTCTACTTTTTTTTTTCGTTGACTTGAGAAAAAAGCGGATAGGCTTCTTATTTGAGCCCCGAGTGAAATTTTGGTTTTTCAATGCCAATAAAAAACCCCGAAAAGAGGATTACTTTTTGTTATTGCTGATTCGATCAACCTTGCGTGACTGTCTGGAACTGGGTTAGCAGTTCCAAAAGGGGAAATTTGGAACTTGTGAGTGACCCAACCCCCCCGTTCCTTTCTTATCTATGCAGCTTGGGCGGGAAAATTTCTTCCATCGTGTATAAGTAAAGTACTCTGAGAGTAAAGCGTTGGATACCTGAGGTTAATGTCACCACACTTCATGGAAATGCGTCAGTTCGTTGGGCCAAGGTGATTTTTTATGTAGCTGGAAAAAAGAAAGAAATTATTTGATTAAGGTTTGAACTGCGCTTGCATTTTCTGGAAGAATAAATTTCGTTGCGACTCCGCTGTGGAAAAGTTGAAATTTTTAACGCATGGTTTATTTTTCCAGCAGTGATCAGGAAAAAAGTAATGGAATATTATGTAGGAAGAATTTCGTTGCTGATGCACTGCATACACTGTCGGCACCAAAGTAAACTTTAACGCTGGCCAACTTCTTATTTAGTAAATTGACAGTAATTTTCTCCGGAACTGTGTTGAAAATAAATTGAAAAATTTCAAATTTTTAAAAAGATTTTGTAAGATTAATACAGTACGTGATTTTCTTCAAATAAACTTCTAGAATCTAGTAATTAAAACACGAAGGTACATTTCGGAACTCATTTTTTTTCATAGTTGCGCTGAAGTGTGAACCAAGTCCTGATTTTTGCAACAAAAAGCTTAGTTTAATTTAGAAATTTTTTTATCCGACCAACTGATAAATTTTGTCCAAACTTTCAAATTCTAAGATTTTACTGTTGATAATCTTAGTTAAGGCGGTCCTATTTGTTCAAGTCCCCGATTCCACTGAGACTTTTTTTTTTTAACTTTTGAACGAAGTGAAAATTTAAATGTGTCCCAATAATTTGGAATGGCTCTTACTCTGAAAAGATATGCTACACTATGAGAAAGTTGTTCGCCTGAAAATGGTGTAAAGGCGCATTTTACGTTCATATCGAAGTGTAACATGGTAAATTTGGGAACTGTTATGTACCGAAACTGAACACAGAACTTTTCTTGCCGAAGGGGCTGCATAGAAAGTCTATGAAAATGTTCCCCTCCGGAGGTCATCGCAAATTTCATGAAAAGGTCAGTTTTGTAGGTAACATGGTGAAGGTGGACTTTCAAATGTCCAGTAAATTTAATTTTGTTTGCGTGACTGTCTGGAACTGGGTTAGCAGTTCCAAAAGGGGAAATTTGGAACTTGTGAGTGACCCAACCCCCCCGTTCCTTTCTTATCTATGCAGCTTGGGCGGGAAAATTTCTTCCATCGTGTATGAGTAAAGTACTCTGAGAGAGTAAAGCGTTTGATACCTGAGGTTAATGTCACCACACTTGATGGAAATGCGTCAGTTCGTTGGGCCAAGGTGATTTTTTTATGTAGCTGGAAAAAAGAAAGAAATTATTTGATTAAGGTTTGAACTGCGCTTGCATTTTCTGGAAGAATAAATTTCGTTGCAACTCCGCTGTAAAAAAGTTGAAATTTTTAACGCATGGTTTTTTTTTCCAGCAGTGATCTTGAAAAAATAAATGGAATATATGTCGGAAGAATTTCGTCGGCACCAAAGTAAACTTTTATGCTGGCCAACTTCTTATTTAGTAAGTTTATAGTAATTTTCTCCGGAACTGTGTTGAAAATGAAATGAAAAATTTCAAATTTTTAAAGAGATCTGCATAAATTTTCAAAGATTAATACAATACGTGATTTTCTTCAAATAAACTTCTACAATCTAGTAATTAAAACACTAAGTAACATTTTAGATGTCATTTTTTTCGTAGTTGCGCTTGAGTGAACCAAGTCCTGATTTTTGCAACAAAAAGCTTAGTTTAATTTAGAGATGATTTTTATCCGACAAACGAAATTCCGTCCAACCGAACTTCCAAATTCCAAGATTTTACTTCTGAGAATCTTAGTTAAGGTAGTCCGATTTGTTCAAGTCCCCGATTCCACTGAGATCAGGTTTTTTTTAACTCTTGAACGAAGTGAAAATTTAAATGTGTGCCAATCATTTGGAATTGCTCTTATTCTGAAAAGATAGGTTCACTATGAGAAAGTTGTTTGCCTGAAAATGGTGTAAAGGCGTATTTTATGTTCAGATCAAAGTGATGATACAATTTGGGAACTAATATGTACCAAAACTGAACACAGAACTTTTCTTGCCATTCCCCGACGTATCTTTCAGATACTTTTACAAGGGGAGGCCTCCAGTAGCGTTTAAAGTACTTTTCCAGTCAAAACATCCATTGTACCACTTCCACCTGAAAGTTTACAGGTCATTTAAATTAAAACAACCTGCTTTTCTCCCACTCATAAATACCTGAAAGCGTTCGAAAATTTCACTTGGGTCATCTGGGAAGACGCTCTGGAAACATGTAGGTATTAGATTCCATGGTGACATGATGATTATGAAATGTAGGAGAAACAGCTGGATAAGATGGGGGAGTTTGTTGCTACAACACTTTCAAAAGGGATTCCCAGCTGCTGGAACCTGCCATAAGGGTGGAAGAAAATAAGGACAAAAATCATACATTTTTGTAGTTCCGAAAAAAAAAACTTCGCTGACGATCCGATCCCATGCGTTGTCCCGAGTTCGAACCCGCAGTTCAGTTGATTTTTTTTATTCATCTCTCTTCGGTCGAGGGCGGGAGAAAGAATTTTCATCTCATTTTTTATATCGAAAAAGAAAGAAAGAAAAATGGACGGGGGAATTATTCTTGCTTACCGATTTTTGCTATATGTTGGCATCTCTCTCTCTCTCTTTTTTGTTGGTTCGTTTTGTTATCCGTTATGTCTCGGATGACGTGAAGGTATCCACCCGGATGGCAAGTTTCGCAGATGGGCCAGGTCCCCCAAATGGTACAAACGATTCAGCAGTTGCCCCCCCAGTCATACCAGTTCCAGCAGGCTGGGCAGTGGGCCGCCAGCGCCGGACAAATGCAAGCAATCCCGGGATGGAGTACTTACCAGGGTCAACTGCCTGGCGGATCCTTCCAGCATTGGTAAATTTCCCCCCCCCCCTCCCAACAAACCCCCCCCCCCCCGAAAATCCTCAGCCCAATGAAAGTCCTTGACCTACTTGACCTTAGGCACTCATTAGGTGCTCCCACCCCCCATTTTTCTGTAGATTTATTTTTTTGGCAGCCCCCCAACGTATAAAAATTAAATTTTTTATTTATTTATGGAAAAAAAGTACAGTACTCCGCTTTTGCTGCTGTTTGAGAAAAAGAAAACAAAATTTTCTCTGTACTCGTACTTCGTATCGTGGCTGTTGCGTCGTGGTTCGGTGCTAGTTGCGCTCTTTTGTTTTTGTTTTTTTCTGTCTCGTTCTCTCTCTGTTTTATTTTTATTTATTTGGTTGGTCTTGTATGTGTGCTTGTTCCTTTGTTCTCGTTTTCAACCGCAGTTTGTTCCGACGATTTTCCCCAACTTTAATTTGCTTTTTTTCGTTTTTGTGTGTTTTTTTGTTCGTTCTGAAACAGTGATCCCGACCACATGACCAAGAAGCAGAAGGTGGCTGCAGACAAGGCGGCCAAGTTCGACGACGACAAGCCCAAGAAGGTGAGTTTTTTGTTTTGTTTTGATAATTTTTGAATTTATGAGAAAAATGTGGACAGAGAGACTAGCGAAAAAAAGGAAGTGGGAAAACCAGGAATTTTTGGTATTGGGGGAATAAAGAAAGAAAGAAGAAAAAACGGGAAATCGTTATCACTGTTACTCTGTAAATTTTACAATGAGTTGACAGGATGCTGAACTAAGTTCATTATTGTAAGAGTTGACTGTTTTCTGAATTTGTGGTCATGGAAAATCTGTTTTCATCTCGTCATCCCTCGAGTTGAAGGAAATGGCGTGATATTGAAAGCCTTTTATTTATTAAACAGCCAAGTGCATTTTTCATGAGGGATTAAACTTATTTAGAAAGTTGAAGAATGACCCAGTATTTGACTTATCCACTTTTCAAGGTTCAACTTTACTGTATTATATTATGGTCTCTCGCTAGTACGTGTACAGTCCTGTATTCGAACTTTTGAAGGCCACCTGTTCTCTGTACAGTATGTGTTCGTATGGGCGAACAATATAATATTCTTGGAGAGGTTTATATTCAATTAAGACGTGCGTGCGTGTTCTTGACATTTCTGGGTGAATGATCGTGCAGTTGGATCTGGATTTTGCGAGCCCCCTGGATTCACTGCGATGATTGAGTACTGTGCAGCATTAATTTTAATTGCTTGAATGACGAGTGAACAGAACGAATCTCGGAACAAGTTTCATTCATGCGAAATTACTGTTGGTTTTTTATTTTATTTAATTTTTATGGAAAGTGGTTCGAAAGTTTCATGAACATCTTGACGCGAATTTCTTGGTACCGAAAGTACTGTATTTGTTCATCATCCGATTTCGATTTTTCACGATCAGTTTTATTTGTGGTAGATTTAACCGAAGTCGCATGGCCGAAGGTATTTTCACGGAAATCTTGAGGTTTCGCTGTGGTTTCCAGCGTGAATTTTTAAAGTAAATTTGAGCTTTTTGAATGTCCATGAAGTTACCGACATGTTTCCACTCACGTTTTCTGCGTTGTAATGTGGAGATGGAAGGGATTTATTTCTTTACATGAAATTTATTACTGTACCCTTGATTCATTCGGTACTCGAAGATGATTCATGTTTGATGAGGAAATAAATGGCGTTTTATAGATGGCTTGAGTTCGCAGGCATAATGACGAAAGCAGCGTACAAACTTGATTTCCTTCTGGAACTCATGAGAGAAAAGCCGAAACTTATTCGGAAAACAAAGTTGAAAATTAAAAAAAGCATTTTATTCTTCATCTGATTATATCCGAATTCTTCCGTGTCAGAAAATTCAGACCGGAGATTAATGAATTTGTGTTTCGAGGTTTTTCGATTCAAGAGGTTGAACTTGAGTAGAGTACTGGCGTACGTTTACTGTACTGATGATGGACATGTACAGTATATTTTTTGTGAGAGTAAAAATTCTCGGGTACGAACAACTTTTTTAAAATCCGAAATATGCTTAAGACAGCGTCATTCAACATATTGAAGAATTTTTTGGGATAAGTCAAGACAAGAAATTTGAGCATTTTTATAGAGAAAAATCAATGAAAAAATATTGTACTGTACACGAGAGGTTTAAGCGTGAAATAAACGAGTTTTTCCTCGAAAATTTGAGGTCTATGCGAATTCAATTAAACGCGCTTTCGAATAATTGAATGTGTAAAATTAATACAGAAAATAATAAGTGATGATCAAGTTCACTTCAGAAATGATCATGGTCTGAAAAAAAAAACTCTTCCATGTCAAGAATCTCCTGAGGTGATCAATAAAGACTCAACCATTTATCAGACGAAGGATTTGGAAATATTAGCTCTCAATTGAATTTGCGAGCCATCTTTTTTTGCAAAATGATCGTGTCAGATGAAATTTCCGAAATCTCAGCTGATTCACTGATGCAATTTGCGAAGCTAGACAGAAATGTGAATACCGTACAATTTTAAAAATAAACACAAGGATTTTTCTCGTTGTTTAGATTTAGTTATCTGGTATCAAAGGAACGGGGGAATTTAAAATCGAATCTCTTTTCCTCTTTGATGTTCAGTGTATAGTACAGTTGAGAAGTAGGCTCTATGATGAATAATCGGATTTTGACTTGAATTCTTCTGCAATTTTATTTTCATGGGCTCTGTTTAGGTTGGGTATTCAGAAAACGTCATCGGAATGTACAGTGAGACCCCAACATGTGGACACATTTTTCCCCATAAAAATTGATAAAAAAAATGACATGAGGACACTAATTTGACATGGGGACATTATGTGATGAAATTGCAAATACATTTAAGGCCAAATTACAAGAAACAGATATTTTCAACCCCAAGATTGGTGTAAGAAAAGTTCTTGGGCATTTCTCTCACAAATTTACCATCCATTTAGCTAATTTAATGAATTACCTCTAGCATAGAGGGACTTCCTTCTCTCTTTTTCACTTGAATGTTATTTTTTTTACAGAGAATGCCAACATTTCTATGTACTGTACAGAGGTAACAGTATTCAATTCCCCAAATGTCCATATTGCATTGAAATATATTGAATGAATCAGTTTAAACTGGGAGACAATTTTTCATTTTCATGGAATTATATTGAGTACTTTGTACATAAAACACCAATTAGAAATTATGTAATGTAAGTCTACGGGAAAATTAGACTCAACTTAGGGACACTCTTGATGCCCCAATGACGTCCATATCGTGGGGTCTCACTGAAGTTGAAAGAATTTGAGATTCAATTTTGCGAAGAACACATCACTTGTTCCTTCTTGGAGAATCACAAAGTCGAAAGCTTGGTGTTATTTTGTGATCTTTTGTTGGGATTCTCCGTGGTACAATTCTGGTCATGTCAGATCTGCTTACCCGAAATTATTCTTCAAGTGACAAAAGCTTGCTGATGTTGACGTTTTCAACTTTCTAAAATTTATCGCCTCGAAGTAATTCCATGTCTTTCAACGTCGTGATTGACTTGAAATAGTTCAAATGTGCAATGACCAGCAACTTTTTGATGTACACTGTCTGTAGTTCCTCGGTCAGAAACCAAGTTCGCGTTAAAACATGTCGTACCATGTTAATTCAACAACTTTGTTAAACTGCGGTCAAAGGCTTGTTTATATTAGTGACTTGTTTATAGCTTCGCATCTCTCAACTCTCACTGGTATTCATTGAGTAAGTTGAAGAACTAAGGAGAACAAAAATTTAACCAACTTTGAATCTCCCGCTTTTTTGTGAGTGGAAACATGTCAGTAACATGAAAAAAAAAACTTCAAAATGAAAATATCCAAAAAGCGTAAAATAACCATGAATATTCACGCTGGGAAACGCAGCGAAACCCATGGAGTTTTTCCGTGTGAAATACCGTCAACCACCATGGGACTTGTGGAAAAAATCTACGTTTATGAAATCTAAACCGGTTCATGAACAAGTACACGTACAGTATCGTACTTTGGTACCAAGAACTCCTCCTCGAGATACTCACGAATGTTTCCAATCATTTTCTATAATTATGAAATGAAGCCCCGACAGAAATTTCAATTTGATCTGTTCTCGGGTCAATTCTGCCTCTTTTTGAAGCCTTCGACTCTCTCGTGATCTGCGCTTTTTTGATGTGCACTTGATTGATTCGACCAATTTGCAATGTTGATGCATGTGTTTTTATTGTTTTATTTTTTTGCAGCCCAAGCGGGAGACGGGTTTCACGAAGACGTACAAATTGAGCCCGGAGTTGGCGGAGATCATGGGCGCGGACGCGATGCCGCGACACGAGGTCGTCAAGCGCATGTGGGCCATCATCAAGGAGCGCAATCTCTACGACCCCAAAAACAAGCAGTTTGCCATCTGCGACGATCAACTCATGAAAGTTTTTGGTGAGTTTTTTTTGTGCAGTATTTCTATTTCATTTTATTTTTCGAAACTTGTCTCGTTTCAAACCGATGTGTGTTCGCGCAATTCTGAAATCGAAGGGCGGGTGGTGGTGTCGGCGGCTGAACTGCAGGAAATTATATTTTGAATTGCAAAAAAAAAAATGGGGAGACGGATGTTGAATTATTTCAAGGATTAAAAGGCCGCGTGCTAAAATGATGCGGCAGAAAAAGTATTTAGAGTTGAACTCGGAGGGACCAGCAAGAAAAGAAAATTAGACTTGGGGAAGTTTTGAGTTGAGGGAAAAATAATTTTGAAGAATTGTAGGAAATTGTAAATGGTGATATTTTGGTCCTTGAAGAGATTACAGCATGCTGAACTTGGAAGTTATAGGGTTCATTTGACTAATGGGTCTTTCACTTGCTTTCAGTGCACATTGTTACATTTTTATTGTTTTCTCTCTTTCCTGGGTAAAGAAAAGGCCACCAGAAAATCTGAATAATGGAGGAATGATGGGGAAAGTCTTCGAGTCGGGCAGGTTTTTTTAATGTATTTTCAGAGAGACTCGGACAGTGCCTTGAAACAAAATTCGATGCAATGTAGGTACGATTTATCGAGGTTCAAATAAAAAAAAGAAGCTTCAACAACACTAGGGATTTTAAATCGGCAATAATGATTTCAATAAACGTAATTCTCCCTCTTGAGTACAGTATTCCTGAAGGAACTGTATTCCGGTTGTAATTTGTTCGTACCAGGGGGTGATATTGTGCAGTTTAGGTTTATTCACCCTCAGTTTCAAGGATAATTTTGTTTATTGCAATTTTTTTTATTACAGGTGAACCTCAATAACTCGAATCCCCCCAAGTCGAATTTTTTTCAGATCCCGTCTGAATCCCCTTAGAAACAATACATAAAAAACCTCCCAAAGTTGAAGGCTTTTCCCCTCAAACCTCTGTAAGTTGGATTGTCTTCGGCCTGTTGGCCATTATTTTCTTGAAAGATTAAAGAAAAGAAGCAATAAAAACAGAAACTTGTTTTAAAGGAAGTGAAAGGCTTAATTGGGGAAAATAAACCCCTGCCTCCAAGTTCAGCAGCCTTTCAACTCATTTAAGAAGCCATTTTTAAGCTTTATAATACAGTATCTCCATTTAAATTTTTTTCAAGTTTTCCAGAAAAAAAGGGCTTTGTATTGCAGTTCCAACCTTTAAAATTCCTGACCTCTCCAAGTCGAAACCTCCCTGAGTCGAATTTTTTTGCAGGTCCCTTGAAACTTGACTTGGAGAGGTTTGACGTTACTGTACTGTATTCTCCAGGTAAAAATTTCCAATCGCAAATGTGACGGAAGCTTTTTTTTTTCAAAAGCTCACGTTGTTTTTCGAACAATAATGATGAAATCTGAGAATGCCAGAAAAGCAAGATAGGCAGGCCTGCTGTGAAAATTTGCTTCCAAGTCATCTATATTTGGAAAATCTCATAACAAATTATTCAGTACAACAAACTTTTTCTGACGTCCTCGAAAGTTCAGACTCATGATGTAAGAGAAGGTACGAAATCTTGTTGAAGTGAACGAAAAAAAAAAAACTTCGAGTATCGTTCAGTTTAAAAACCTCCAGATGTTTGCCGAAGAACAAAGATTATCATCCCAAGTGTGTGAACTTACTGTTAAAAAGTGCACAAAACAAATACATTCCTGCTCTATTGTTTTTTTTTTACACAAAAAAAAATTCCTGCTCTTGATCCATGCTCAATCCAGATTCCCGTCTCCAACATTTCCCCCCTTTTTTTGCCAGCATCGACAGTTTCTTATCTTTGAATGGTCTCATAAGAATGAGTACAATCTATGCTGTACTGTACTTGAGATCAGGTGTCTTTGATTAAGATCACGTCCAGAATAGGGCAAGACATAGAAGTCCCATCTTCACACCATTTGAATTCATGACTGTCCATTCGACTGACTGAGTAGGCCGATGCTGGTTAAAGGCACCATTCTAATTTCCAACAGTGATTTAACGGGTAAGTGAATCGTATGAACAGCCGAAAACGGAAGAAACTATGCAGCGAACTTCAATAAATGAATATAATGCAATAAATAAAATTAATAAAAATTGCAATAAGTAAAACTACAGTATATGCTGTATTATTTTTTTCAGTTCATCGCGATGGGATGGGGGAAAAAGAGTGAGGGCTGTTGATGCGTAAACACTGTTCTCTCGTTGGGGTTTGGACACCATCAATCTCTTGTCTGAATGTGCGTTTTCTTTCATGATTTCCAGGTGTTGAGCGCTTCCGAGCATTTGGCATGATGAAGTACCTGAAGTCCCACATCCTGGAAACGGAGAACACCAGCTAAGTCGTTCGTTTGCAGCGGACTTGTGTGTTGTACAGAGCCGCCTCCCTTATCCCCCTTTTTTCCAGTTTTCAACGAGAGACACGTTTTTTTTTTTTTGTGAACCGTTGCGCGCCTCCTTTTTTTTGGGTTTTGTTTTTTTTTGTCAAATGAAAGAGAAAAACTTGCGAGGAGAAAATTTTTAAGAATAATAATAACGAAGGGGTGGGAAGTTGAGAAAAGAGAGAGCGAGAGAAAACAATTTTGAGTTCAAAAACGTTAATATGTGGTGGAGATGAAGTGGCGGGGGGTGTTTGTTTGATCCGGTTTTTTTATGTTCTGCTTTTTTTTGTTTGTTGGGTTTTTATCGAGAACCTGCCCCATGAAAGGTTTTTTTTTGGCATGAGTGCGAGTGCGTGATTGGCTTGTATAGGGCGATGCCAATTTTTTTTTGGGAACGCAGAAATAGCTCGACGGCGATGGAAGAAGACAAAAAATTAATATTACTGAGGAGAAAAGAAGAAAAAAAAACCAGTCCCCCGTAGGCCGTACCGGACAGTTGAGCGCGTCACAGAAAAGAAGGATTGTATCCTCAAATCGATTACCGGAGAATGCAAGTCATCTTAAAATCCCCCACTTCTTGACAAATGTTTTTTTTTTGTTTCTTTTTTTTTTTCATGACCGAATTTGAGGTACATTTTAATGAAAACAAAAGCGAATCCTCGTGGCGAATGCATTTGTACGAGTTGACGATAAAAGTTATTCTCCTCTTCCGCGATTGAATATTTTGAGTTGGTGTCACGAAGTTGGTTGATTCAATTTGACCGGAACTGTTAATTACGTTGAATTTGGTCAAATGTATCAATTCTCTAGTGAAGATTTCCATTTCGGATATTTGATCGAATCTGTTGCTGTTCTCTGTCTTTTTTATTTTTCGCTTGTTCTGTTTTATTTTAAGACAATTCTGAGTACATGCGCGCTTTTGCGACGCGCTCAATTGTCCCGGTACCTCCTGTGTCCACCAGCAGCCGAATTTTTCTTTGCATTTGCGAAGGTTGAAGACTTTTCCCCCCGGGATTTTTCGAATTGATTCCCCACCACTATTTAATTTTATGCTTTTGACGGAATACCTTTTTTTTTCTGGAAATCCAAAAAGAAGAAAGGAAAAATCCACCTCATCGAAAACAGAAAGAATAGGCGATTCGGGAAATGAAACGTCGGGCTATTTGTAATTTGATCTCTGGAATGCGGAAACGAGAGGTGGGGTAAACAAAGAAGACGGGATTTTTAGTTTGTTTTTAATTTCCAAAGCGCTGAGAGAGAATTGGAAGAGAAAGAAATCAATTTTTTCGTTTTTATTTGGCCTGCAAGAAGAAGAAAAAAGTACTCCAGGGTGTTTCGTCGATCTGCGTATTGGTTTTTTTTTTAACGGAGTGCCGACGTCAAGTAGTTTTTATATTTTGGAAATTTTGTTTTGATTTTTTCTACGAATACTTCTTTCTTACTCGGCCAGTGCCTCTTTTGGGTTTTTACTTCTCAAAAAAAGAAATTGGGAGAGGAAAGAATAATGAAATTGTTCTTTTTTTTTGGGAGAAAAGATTGAAGCTCTTCAGCGGAAAAAAAAAGTCTGGTGCCTGTTGGACAAGAGAGAATTCGGAAGAAAAGCGCTGCATTTTTTCAACATTGGTTCTTTTTCCCGAATTTCCGCGTTTCTTTCCGTTGAGCTGTTTTCCCCCCATCTTCTTCTGTCATCCCACAGTTTGTGCAGGAAAATTAACTGAACTCGCGGAATGTTTTGAAATGGACTGAGTAAAAGGACATGTTTCCGAATGGACCTCAACGAGTTCCTGTTTTTACTGGTACAGAACCGTAGATACTGTAGAATGTAGATTATCTCGGCTCAAATACATTACATTACATTTGTGCCTTCCCTGCATTTTCTTATGGGAGGTGAACAGAATTAAGAGCATAATAGCTTGGAAAATCCAGTTGTGAATATATACAGTATAACTTGTAGTACTACTCTGATTCTGATGAGAAGTGGCATGTGAAATGCTGAAGCTCAAGAAAATGTGTTTGATTCAATAATATGTACAGTAAAATACTAATCTCACTTAAACTATGGTATGTCATTCTAATTTTGAGTAAATATTCTTCCATCAGCGTTAAATTCGAATATAATTCGTATAAAAAATGAGTAACTTCACGACGTGATTTCCACATCACATGAATTCATTGCATACTTGCTCACGCATTAGATCTTGATTGTTCGCATGTACAGTAACAGTACTTCAATGCTGGATTACTATAATCCGGGTCGTCTTGAATAAGATAGTTGAAACCCAGAGAAATTCATAAGATGCATAAATTCGTTGAATTGACTCGAGTGTTCACTCAACTTCAGGGACTAATGGGGGAGGTGTTGTGAGCCAAAAATGGTTGTACTGGAACAGAATAATCAATGATGTGTGTTTTGGATGGATTTGCTGTTGCTGATCATGATGCTTCCTCCACTGTCAGTTCGCAGGTAATTAGTATCAAACTGATTGGTGCATAGTTCAGGTGCACAGCAAATTGTCAGAGCTCTCAAAGATGGGTATAACAGGTTGATTGCCCAAACCAAATTCCAGGATGTGCCTCTAAAATGTGACTTCATGGTTTTCAAAAAGAAGTGAGTGACCGATAAGATATATCTTCCTTCCAAGTCCAGCATCCAGTCAAAGCATTCACCCAGCAGTTCAAGGCCCATTGCAGATCACAAAGTTTACACACTTTCTTCCAAATCTTTACTTCTCCCCCTCAAGAAAAAAATACTGCTGGTATCTTAACTCAGAAAACTCTTCAAGTAAACGTTTTCTGTGGATCCCTCTGAGGTTGACTTTAGTTGAAGTTGAGCATTTATTTTCTTCAAAAGAAATCTAATGAATGCTTTGTAAAGCCAAACCTTTCCAAGTCAAACTAAAAGGGTCCAGAAAGACATTTTGAAACCAGCATTCTTATTTTGGGAAATGAAAATTAATTGCAGGAAATTGTACCTGGTGATATTCTGGGCATTGAATTGCAACTTGAATGAGTTGACAGGATGCTGAAGTTGGCATCGTTCACCAAATTAGTCTTTCACTCCTTCCAAAGCACATTGAGTTCAATATTGTTTTTCCCTTTCCCATGTTAATGAAATAGGAGACAAAAAGGCCTCCAGAAAATTCCAGTTAGAGGTTTTTGGGGGGAAGCCTTTAAGTTAAGGGAGATTTTAACTGCATTATTCCTCAGGGAACTCAAACAGGGACTTGTAAAAAAAACCCCCCAGGGATGTACCTCATTTGATTCAGGGAGGTTCCATTTATCCAGGTTCAACTGCAATAGAGCCGAGGCATAGTCAATGACCAAGTCATCTATTCTTGAGAAGCACATGTTACAGCAGAAAGAACACAAGCATCATCAGGGGTGGGGGGAACCTCCCAGCTGATGGCCAGAAGCGTGACCCAGAGTATATATACATCTATACATACATGTACAATACAGTATATATAATGTATATAAGAAGATCAGCCAAAAGGTATCGCAGTGCAGAGCAGGTACTGTACACTATACAGTCCTGTCCCAACCACCACGCGGTTCTTCTGCCGGCTGCGGATCACGGGCTTTGTGAATGGGCGCAAGGACTGCGTGACCTGATGCCATGGAGTACCGTGACCTCACCCCCCCCCTCGCCCCCATCAACACAGATGGATACACATATATACGCGAATGTATAACGCAGAGGATCTCTCCCCCCGTGGAACAGTGTGATCCTATATATACATCCCCATGATGCCGACACGCTTTCCTCAGAGAGGAACAGGAGTATATACGTATACAGTATAGGGAAGGATATATTACTGACTCTATTGTACTACTGATCAGCTGTTGCACTTGTGACTACATGAATATACAGTATACCGTATAGCCGTGTTCCATGCAGGCAACATCAGGCATGTACAAATGGCAGGAAAGAGACACATGCACCAGTACTCCAGTATCATGTGGATATAAAAGAATATTTCTGGCACACACTGAAGGGTAATGTACCCCTCTGAATGCATGGGTTTTCTTGGTTTACACACTTGATCCATTACCAAGCAAAGTGTGTTTACCAAATTGCAATTTTCTTTGAGGAAATACAGAAATAAATTTAATTGGTTCCAAAACATTGATTGGAAGTGCCCAGTAAAATCAAGAAATTTTTTACTTGGAATGGTTACTAGGCAAGAAATTCAAGTATTTTTTTGGATCAAGTACATAGAGAAACTCACAGAAGGACAACAGCCCTCTGAAAATTTCAAATTTCTCAGAATTCAAGAGTTGTCCCACTCTTATTGTACATTCTGACTTTTTTCAAAATGTAACCAAGACTATTGCACATTGTACTGAAACCTTGACACATCTCTGGATATTTTGCAGACTAGCTCATAGTTTTTCTGCAGACACCCATGCTGAAGTACAGGTGATATGCCAGCTAGTATATGCTATGCACACCTTCAACTATGAGAACTCAGTTTTGGGTAATGGATGACTGCATAAAAAGTACTGTACTGGAATTGTCTCACAAACATTACGTTTTTGATGCACATGCAGTTGGCATGCTTTAGGTGAATAACAGATTCTTGTTTCCAAGCATATTTGTAAATGTTGTGCCAAAATCCATTTATTCAGGAATTTGCAATTTTCAAGGGACCAGAAAGGAACTAGTCATTCTAAATACTGCTTTGAGGCTTGGTTTCTGAATAATTTTTCACCCCATTGTGAAATCAATTTTTCATTACAATAGACTAGGGCCAATGAAAGTACAGTACAGGGAATAAATCTGCCAGAGAAGGAAGATGGTTACCTTAACAGTTTGATTAGTACCTTATCTGAGAACTGAGACAGATGGAAATTACCATTTTCACACAAGAAAAACCATGCCCAAACTGCAACACTATTGTAGGTTAGGTGCACAGTTCACTGCTTAATTATTTCTGCCACAATATAGTGTTATCTTAACTTGCTTGAAATATATATTCTCTTTGGTCGCGTCAATAAATAAATACAATGTTTCAAAATATGACTGCACAATATATTTCTATTATTTGATACACAGAATCACACTCGTATTTTTCATACAACAGTCACGCAAGCAGAGTCAAGACAATATAAAGAAGTCTTGCTAAAGTATTGCAAGTCTTCCTGAGAATAATCGCGAGAGTCAGGTTCGATTCTCTAGTGGGATTCTTCTGGGGATTTCGGGAAATGACTCGAGTTTATATAGCTTCTAGACTATTGGGTTCATGACATCTTTCTTGGATTCAGTGGTGCATATCCAGGTTTCGGAACCAGGATGTGTAGCTCAGAAACTAGCTCAGGAATTATTATGCAAGCAGAGTCAAGACAATATAAAGAAGTCTTGCTAAAGTATTGCAAGTCTTCCTGAGAATAATCGCGAGAGTCAGGTTCGATTCTCTAGTGGGATTCTTCTGGGGATTTCGGGAAATGATTCGAGTTTATATAGCTTCTAGACTATTGGGTTCATGACATCTTTCTTGGATTCAGTGGTGCATATCCAGGTTTCGGAACCAGGATGTGTAGCTCAGAAACTAGCTCAGGAATTATTATTCGGAATAGTAGAAGCCGAAATTCGGTGAAGCATCAATTACCGTAAATAACTGTCAACAGGAAAAGGAACAGTAAATGAGAGCCTGAAGATAAAATGGGTCATGCGTATCTGAGTCAGGCAAGCACGAAAGTCGTTGAACCAAAACAAGGAGAAAAAGATATTCATGGGAAAGTTTTCTTCCCATGTTCATCTAGCTTGGAGAAGAAATTAAAAGAGAAGAAACTCGAAACATATTGTCGAGTATTTCTGCAGGATAACAACTCACCCTGGGCAATAAAGAAAAAGGTTGCCATGCCTTTTTCTCAAAGTGCGATAAATAAGAGCGTTCCAGGAAAAGTTCGACAGCTAAGTCGTTTAGCAAAACAAAAGCGCCGTGCTCGTTTCCTGTCGCGCAAGTGCACAAGTGTCGAGAATTTATTGCCGTGCTTCTGAGGAAGGGGGGCGTCAAGGCCGTGAGGCGCAAGCGAACCCTTGGAAGCCGGTGGATTTCGACAAGTTGGCTGGCAGTGCCAATCGGAGGTCGACCGGATCGACATGTCCAGGTTTGGTGTGAGTGTCTTTTTAGGGTTGCGTCGACAGCATGTTTCGCGGAGTTTTTCTCGGCGTTAATTTTTTAAACTGTTTTGTTTCGTTAAACATAGGGGGATCTTTTCTTCTAGGCATCTTGGTTCGGCGATTTCGTTTTTCGCGGAAGAGAAAAATAAAAGGTAGCTGTTCGTCGCGAACGTAAAGTCGATAAAAATAAAAGTATCCAAAAAAAATGGTTTCGCTGTTGAAGGTACGTGATACGCGAATCAGTCTTGACATAGTTGATTGATTGCGTGTTCTCGTGCAGGTGTTCTTTCTGTTGCTGGTTGTGGCTGCGTCTGTGGACGTCGTCAAATCTCGTTGTGTACCGGACTCTATGGAGTTGGTATGCGATGATGTTTGTGCTGACGACGTGGCTCTGGCGCTGGACTTCGACAGGAAGGTAACCTTTGTCGGTAGCGAGATGTTTCTTGATTGTGTTAGGCTCAGGCGGTTGAAGGTAAGAAGAAGATGTGGTACAATGAAGTTTGGTGAATTCATTGTTCCTCTTTTCTTCTTATAGCAGGTGAAGTTGCAGCATGAAGTCCAGTGTTTCGGACGTCGGGACGGCCTGGAGGATGTTGTGGCGCCCTGGGCGTGGTGTTTGCCTCTCAGCAGCAGCACTGGGGCGCCTC